CTGCGAATCTTCGTTTTATTAGCGATCGTGAATGAAATTCATGCTTGTTCTTTATTTACATTGAATGTTCTTCCGTTCCATATTCTGTTGTTAGATTATCACTAGTTTGACATTTGTGTTATTCATATATTTTTCAGTAAAGCTCCGTTGTAAGAACTTACAGTGAAACAATATTCGAAATGAGAACTTTGACTTAAATGACCTGAAATTAACGAAGTAAAAGATAAAAAAATATGCATCATAATTCTTGTAGGTGATTTAGGGCTGAGAAAACAAACGGTTGATATTTTTCATCGTTTATTTTATATTATTGTCTTTATTTGTCAAATTTTATTCATCTAATATTTCAGTAGCAGGTTATTTTGCCGTACGATCATCGGCCATGTATATATGTTATCATGCAGTAGCCATTGAAGGTTAAGTTTTTACATTTATTTATTGAATAGCACAAACATAGTCAAGATTGAGCGATCAATTTGTGATATCGAACAACTACGTAGAAGTCAACTTGGCAGCTTTGGCAGAATGGTTAGATAGAACATAAATTAATTAGCAAATTAGTTTATAGTAATTGCGTAATATATTATAGTAATATATTACAGTAATTGCGTGAGCCATTTCGACTCAATAAACAGAAATGATGAGGAGATTTCATTCATGTGAGCATCACAACTGACTTGATTTCCCCGAAACCTCGCTTTCTTCAGCGAATTCGTACCCTAACTTTCATGACAACACTCAACATACTCACGTCTAATTAACCCCTTAACTCCTGGACCAAGGAATGCAAGGAAAGTTTGGGTTGCCCGAGGAGTGATTGCTGTGGTGACACAAATACTCAACAACTTAAGTGGTGAACATGTCTTCCTGTAGGTCATTCAGCTGTTGTTGTCAGTACTCAAATGACCCGCAACTCCTAAACTACCGGACGAAACGTCGTTAGCGATTAGGTGGGAAGAATTGCTTTAAATTCGATACTGTAGAGTAACTAACGCAACGAAGTGGGTCCAGAAGACGTTTGCATGATTTGGTTTTTTATATTGTATAATATCGCGATTTTTAGATTCCATTAGTTAAATTCCGTAAATTAATTAGGTTCGTCAATTATGGCAATGTGGAAAATAGATTCAGTGAAATGGGTTATAATTTCACTATTACGTAGCTGCCTTCGCTGAAAAATTCATTTAATCGAGTTTGCAGATAAAGACAATTGAATGGTGCAGCACAGACACTGGAACAAGTAAGGCGACCAGTCCCTCATCTTTGTGACTGTACCCAAATCTGATATTCGCTTCTGCTGAATAATCAAAGTGCATGAACTCTTCATAATTTGTAATCGTTTTCAATTGCTTCACTATTGACTACCATTATTGTTTATTATAGTTTTATAGTGAAGCAATATTATTATTTTTTTCAATTGCCACACTATTGACTATTAACTACAATTGCTCACTATTGAAAAATACAAAGAAAATATATTCATTGATGTATTCTCGAATTTATGACGGAATGAGGGAAGAAAACTATAGTCTTCGTCAAAACAAGGAAATTTTCTTCTCCCTAATATAGAATGAACAAAGAAAACTTTCATTGGCACACTTATTTATATGAATATTTCATTTTCAACATAAAAAAGTAATATTTCAGCTCTGCTGCTCCTGATATTCAATTTATAGAGGAAGAGAATATTTTAGTTGAAAGTTTATTCTTCCCGAGTGTCATCTACCATCGAACAAGCATGAGCATAAACTTCGAGCGTGCACATGAACAACCATGCTGAGTCAAATTAAACTTTAAAAATATAGGTATTTTGACTATTGGTGCCCTTATGTTAGAAAGAAATGAACAATATCAGAGCTAAGAATAACTAACTTCAAACGTCCAATTCAGTTCAAATGATCAGACACAACATTTTTTCACAAATCTTTATTCATACTACGGCCTCCTAACTACTACGCTACGCAATACTTATTAATAACTCGCAAAAATTTTATTATAACCTACGATTATTGTCGGAAAAATTTTACCATACTAGTTCAATCATGATTTTACCCTCTTGAAAATTAAAATATAGAAACTACGGACGGCAAAAACTATCGGACATTTCTTCAGGTTCCGAAAAAAATTGTCAACTATTTCTAATTTCTCAAAACGAATATGTATTAATCTGGTTTGTACTAGATATTTTAAGTGCGTGAAAATGTTGATTCGACCTTCTAATTTTTTTTACCATATCTCCGTAGCCTGCACGATGTATATATAAGTTTAATCAATTTTGCTAAGCAGGATCAGCGCATGGCATCATGCGCAGGAGCGGAGGCGTGTCTCAGCCGCGTCGTGTGATTGGCTGACAGGAGCCTCGCACTCCCTGCTTCCTGTTCCTCATTGGTCGAGCAGATGATGGAAGAGCACGTGTTGTGCAGCGTGGTCCGAATGCACATACCAGCTGACTACTTCACGGCACAATTCTAACATCAACCAATAATAAGGCTTCGACACATTGACTTGCCAAAGTGGTCCAGAATGAAGGGACGCAAAAAATCACTTGTTCCAAGTGCAGCGGAAATCATCCAAACCAAGAATTTGCATTTTGTTTGAAGCTGCCTATTGTATCTGGAAGCTGAACATATGATCTAATTAGTACTTCAGATAGTTTACGAAATTATGACCTTGTTACCTTCATTAACCCAAGGCTTGGTCAAAATTCAAAATAGCACATTCTGGGCAGAAGCTGGATCATTCAAATTTTTTAAATGCGACAAAAATGTGGAATGCTTTAAAATTTACTAGGTAGTTTTTATTCCTATTCAAAGTCGTATCCATAAGGTCACATTTACAAGAGGGCAGTGACCGGCTGAAGAGTAATACACCGTGTCTCGGCAGCATCGCCACAACAATATTCCTGAGTGTATTTTCTGCTATTTTTAGCAGCATAAAAACCAAACTCTAGAACATATATATATATATATATATAAAGCCCCCATCCACATGTTCAAATTTATCGGCAGTCTTGCGTGTCATGCCAAGTTTTACATGAAAGATTTTACAACGGCAGGACTGGCCATGTGGACGCTAAAGTTGACGTCTTGCAAGGCGGATGGGCGGAGTTTTGAGGCTTAACAAAGGAGGAAAAGACGGACGAGCGACACCTTTGGCTTCATACAAAACTGACAAGTTTGGACGTGAGAACCGGCATCCGTTTAATCGGACAAACTTCTCCCTCTTCATCCGTATTGTTACTGAATCCTCTAGTATTGTTTATAGCTAGATGTAATTTTGCACGAAAAAATGACATTACAAAACATACGACACGGGTCGCACCCACCATGGGTCGCACGGTTCTTAATACGAGCCCATAGATATTTGCGGCAGTTTTACATGCACTGTGGCAAATCAAACCCAAAGGCTACAAGGACTCAAAAAAGCTCTGAGCGATGCGATTTTGATTAAGTGTAACGAAGTAGATCATACAGGATACAGCGAACAAATAATACGCTACTATAAGAAAGTCGTATCATTTTGAACAGCTCGTTGAAAAGATCGTGCCAAAATATATTATTGACCCTCTAACAACTTTCACTACGTACACCATCATGACATTTTACCTGCTATTGCAGGTCTTCAGCATTATTGCACTCAAAGCTTGTTCGGATAATATAGTTGTGAGCTAAAAGTCTTTGCAGCTTCGTCTGGTCGCCAAAAACCTCAGAATATAGCAAAAAGTTGATCTTGGGGCTGGTCGAAGTCCTCACTTCGGTGTCGCTTTTTCAATGTATGCTGCTACACTATCGAACAAATATACACCTTAGATCTCCAAGTCTCTACATAAGTAATTACGGCAATCTGATGCTTCGCATCGTAGCTCAGTTACAGAGGGTGCAGATGCTTCGCATTGTAGCTCAGTTACAGAGGGTACTGATGCTTCGCATTGTAGCTCAGTTACAGAGGGTACAGATGCTTCGCATTGTAGCTCAGTTACAGAGGGTACAGATGCTTCGCATTGTAGCTCAGTTACAGAGGGTACTGATGCTTCGCATTGTAGCTCAGTTACAGAGGGTACTGATGCTTCGCATTGTTGCTCAGTTACAGAGGGTACTGATGCTTCGCATTGTATAGCTCAGTTACAGAGGGTGCAAACGCGTTTAGTGTGAGCAGAAGTCGCTTCTCTGCCGGCCAAACTATAACCTTCGTCTTGTAAAGCTGTGCTTGACAAAGCAACAGAAATCGTGGTGTGCATTATCGCTATTAGTCATACTCATGAATTTGTCTGCTGTTTTTATGGAGACCGTCTTGAGCCAAGCATGTTTTCTTCATTCTAAAAGTACAATAATCTTATTCCCTTGGGTACTGGTGAAATATAAGTGTTTTAAATATTACAGAGGAGTGATCTGATTGTCGTGTGGCTTCTATAAATTACTGCTGCGACCGCATGATGAAACCGCTTATCCATTGCAAAATCTTATTTTATACAGTAACATTTTTCACCGGATGCGCTCGATTAATTATTGAGGCATTATTTTACATTGAGGATCCCAAAACACAATATAAACAGGAATAACTTTATTCATTTCTCAATGATGTAAACAATAAAACAAAAGTTAAATCTCTTGCATCATTATAACTGTCATCAGCGGACATTTCTAACAAAGTAATCAATATCACAATACTTTCTATCACATTGACTGGGTCGCAAACAGTGCACATGTAAATTTAAACTAATCACATTATAATTGGAAAAAAATTGGAGAGTTCACGTTTATACTCAATGAGTAACCGCTTCTGTATTACACGACTACTGAATAGCGAGCTATACGGAGCTCGCTGAATGGTGCTGATATCTACCGTCTACGGTATATAGCATCACAGATAAAGATAAGAAATTTCATATCGAAAATACAACAATAAGTAAAATCAAGTGGCATATACGTACATTGTTAGCATACAAGAAATTTCATATCAAATATGCAACAATAAGTAAAATTAAGTGGCATAAACATTGTTGAAATACAATAAATTTCATATTGAAAATGCAACAATAAGTAAAATTAAGTGGTATATACATTGCTAAAATACAAGAAATTTCATATGAAAATATAACTATAAGTAAAATTAAGTGGCATATACATTGTTCAAATACAAGAAATTTCATATCGAAAATGCAACAGTAAGTGAAATTGTAGTTCAAGTATCATTCCTCAAATTTCTTAACAACCTTTAAATTATAGATAAAATAGAGTAAATCATGCCGATAAAGCTCAGATTATATTTTGTCCTTTGGTGGGATATAGACCTGATAGAATTATTGAGTAATAAAATAATTTCATCATCAGTTCCTCCTACAGCTCCCTCGAATGATTTAATCAACCCAACTATTGAGCTCTCAGGGCGGGCAAGGCTACTGGAGAAAAGACAGTTCGTCCAGTCTTGTTTCCGCGCGCCCTGCGCTTTTGTTCGTCGTAGGCGTTGATGAGGACGGCAAATACGGCAGGAATGCTGACACAAGACTTGAGGGTTTTATATTCGTGGGTAATTCTCGATTCAGCGACTGATACCACTCTATAGCCTGGCTGGTCAGAGCCCAACTGAGCCCCTGCCGCTGATGTAACGACCATCTGAAGGTCTTTGTACATCCCACCGGCATTTCGGTGGTAGTGACCTGAAAATACATGCCTGACTCCAGCATCGTAAAATTTGTCAAGCAATTCCTGACGCAGATCTTTAGCAAAATTGAAATATTCTTTATCCTCGTGAGGGTCGTTCAAGAATAAAGGTATGTGTTGGAAGATGACGCAGTGCTTGGGTTTCCGTCTCCTTATTTTCATCAGCTGTCCTTCCAGCCAATCTTCTTGGTCCTGAGCAAGTTGCGGGACCCGAGTACTATCTTCATAATACTGTGAATTTATAACTAAAAAATAGACGCCGCCACACCAGAAACTGAAATAATCATCTCCAAATGATGACCGATACTTGCTAACGCTCTCCATTGATGGCTGGTTGCCTATGTCATGGTTGCCGCAGACACACACACACGGCACCTGCAACGTGCTGAAGATCTTCTTGAAGTCCTTCTCCTGGCCATCGCGAGTTTCAGCTTGTGTTTCAGGCCACGCGTCCAGCAAGTCCCCGCAAATGACAAGGAAACGTGGCCGAGGCCTCATTTGATTTACCTGCTGTACCAGCTGGCGTGACCATTGCTTCTCAGGCTCCCATCCTGGCCGGGTCTTCTTTTCAATGTAGCTTTCTTGCATTCCGAATTGGGTATCTGCGGCCTGCACAAATGTGAAATCCCCTTGCCACTTTTCTTCCACCTTCCTGTTGAAAGGAAGGAAATTGCGTTCCCTCGTGCTTGACGAAAATTTGTCCATCACGACCATTGTTTCTCGGTAACCGTTAATTGTCGTTCAACAATAACAAAAAACTTTTTTTAATTTTAAAAATTTGTAGACGAATTGTAGACGAAGACTGCACTTTTCAAGCAAGGTTGTGATGCGGGTGGCGAAAGAGTTCAAATGTTTTCTCTGCCGTTTTTCGATCACAGGAATCACCTGTTCGAAGAGTAAAGAGGCACGTTAACGAACGAAGCTTAAGAGTGTTCTTGCAACTAAAATAAAACTCTCTCTCTCTCTCTGAAAGGACTTCTGCCAGTCACAGTCGCAGGCAAATCCAGAATGCATAGATCTAGATCGGCACCTGAGTTCTTATTATGCGAATCTGATGTGGGAGGGGTTACGAGATGTTAGTCAACGGTGGGCAGTCTCACGCAACAGTTTCTCTATCAATTGAAGTTCGAATTATGATCTGACCTCATTAAAGTTAACAACATGTACCAACATCTAAGGCAAAAAGTAAAAGCAAAAATAAATCATGGTCTTCAAATTAATTTTTAGCCTTAATTTGCCGAAAATTCATCATATAAGTTGTAAATGCGTTGCGCGTGAACGCGGCGTTGGCAGAGATGTTTTTTGGCGCGGTGCTGCTGCCGCAACTCGCTAATGTCAGCGCGCTGCCTGCTGCACACGTGGACGATCACATGATCCTCTTGTGCTTTGGCAGCTGCGAGACAAAATCGAGCGCTCGCTCCTCCCGAGATACCTTAATTGTACATTGCAGCATTCGATAGTAACGTTTCAATTGTGACGTATGAGACCACGGTTTACCGCCATTTTTTAATGCTAGCAAAACGTGAAATAAGTAAGCGTGGCTCGTGGCTCTCAGCTGAGCATTAGCGCGAGCTTCATTAGAGACAGGGGGGAGGGGAAGTTCAATGAGAACTTCAGGATTTTAAATTCAGCACAAATTGTAATCTATGTTACCGTTCCGTGACGATTGTGAGCAAAATTATCAAAAATATTTGTGAAAGTTCTTCATTTATAAGATGGATTAAATACCCGCTTTCCATATTTATAAAATGAAATTTATTAAACAATCGTAGTTATTCTAACTGGAGAGTCCGTTCGGTGAAGATTTGAAGCGGAATGGCACTGTCTAAGTTGCGGCCATAGGCCAGGGGCTCAAATTCGCAGGCCGCACGTCCACGGTGTATAAGTTAATTGGGGATGCATGTTAGTAGCCAGCATTGCGTATAACCGTAGTACTTTTCTTATTCCTATGCGCGCGTAAGCATGCTTCGGAGTGGAGCATGAAAAAGTGTGTTCCAGGATAAGTTGAGAACATTTATACCTATTTTGTCACACAAGTGCACCGGAGCACGAGTTTAGATCTATGAACAAGGCACGAAAAGGAAAAGAATCGGCGACAGGCCACATCAGGCCTACACTTCAGCGCCGACATCGCTGTGTTATGTTATGTTAAGTGGGCGACTGATGGGCGAGAAACTCAGCTTAGGCCTTGCAATGCACCTCTATGCCCAAGGAATACAACGTACGTCAGTAGTGCCTCATCCTCACTACGTCGCCACTATGATTAACATTGCATCAAGAGCAATATGCTGGACTGTCCGGCAAACTGCGTGAGGAATAAGTCCGTCACATGCTAGCATCTATCAGGAACAAAGAAACTTTTTTACCAGATTCAACACAGCAAAAGAAGATTCGTAAAGATAAGAGTTGTTGTGAGCAAGATGTTAGCCAAGGCATCAGCATCACGAACATTCACTGAAAGACAGTTTATAAAAAAGTGTAAAGTATCTTCACTGTAAATAGTAATCATGAAAACTTCATTCTAGCATTTAACTGTAATGACAGTAGCGCTCGTAAAATTTACTGAAATAACATTTTTTCGTGGGCTGTTACTTTCCACTGCGGCCCACGATGGGGCATGAGCCAGCGAGGTACTCATTATTGATGATGGCTCGTCAACCGTCAACGTCAAGTGCCAGCTCAAGGACTAGTGATAATAATAAATTCCAGATAATATTGCTGGCTACTTTTTTATCGTATGATTGTAAAGAGTTTATAATGAAATTGCCACATACGTAAAAAATATCCTAATATATTAAAAAAGCTAACAATACATTGTAATGTGGCCTGTGGGAAGGAAACGCACGCGCAATCCTTGTGCCGTACAGGCTAGAGTAACACTGAAGGCAGAGTTGCAGTTTTAGCTGCAGTCGAATGCAGGCGAGCAACCTTGGCTATGTAGACCTCTCGTCTTGTGACTTGGATGCAGGGCGAGTTGCTTGAAGGTGACCGGAATGAACTGGTGTGCAACACAGAGATGCTTCGCCATTTTACCACGTTTTTCTTAGCTCGCTTTCGTGTCTGTGACGATCAAATCTTGCAATCGATATTTCACCAACTTTCCCATTAGCTAGCGCTCTGAAACTTTTAGGGAAGCTCAGCTCCCGATAACAATACAATAATCAATAATTTGTTGCACGTTTCCAGGCTAAAATATTTTAACTGAAATACAAAAGACCAAGAGAATGAAAGCAAACAGAGATCAGTAGCTGCCGAAAAATTATTTTCTACTTTTGAGTCCACATGAAAGACGTGGTCTTTAAAAATTTTTTTATACATTTTATGTATGGTTGCAACGCATCAGCTGATCCTTGACAACGCTGTGCCTTACCTGCCAATGCATCAGTTCAATGCACCGCAATACCTTTGCTTCGTTACAGAGTTGTGAAAGTAATTAATATTGCTCATCACTGGCGTCGTTCAAATGCTTATAGTTCCTCGATTAATGCAGAAAGTGTGAACATACAGAATCACAAGTTACAATTTTATTTTATATTCCTACTATTAAAATGCGATAACAATTTATTTTTGGTGGGATTATACCTGAGTTGTTATTTTTTCACCTTCAAAATTTCAACTTAGAGAGTTCCATTATAAATATAGTCATGGCCGCATGTTGAGTTGCGGCTCAAGTGACATGATACGACAGTTGTGTTGCCACTCGAGATAAGAGTTACTCGATGCTGAAAGTTAATGCATTCACATCTTAGTAAGAGATCATTATTCAAGGCAGAATGGCAGATGTTTATTTTCTCGGGACACTTGAATTGGCGTTACTTGTATACATTTTGATAACTCTAGCTGATACCATAACTCTGCTATACCATCTTTAATTGACAAGCAGATTACAAGCACTTATAGTAACTCCGACTAGCTTGGTTGGTTCGAGATTCTCCCGCTGCATATGAATGCGCTCGCCATGCTTGCGCTGGCAATGCATGAACTGTGAAGCAGACTTCTTGATCACTTCACTAATTTGTAAATCATCATCAGCTGGTTACTCTATTTGAAAGCTGTACAGTGATACCTAATACTGACGGGTAAACTCAGTTTCCTCACCATACGTTATAATACATATAGAAATAAAAGCTTTAATCATGCTGCAAAAATGAAGGAACAATTTCTGTCGCTTTGCCAGATGCGAGACCGCTCAGACCGGGAAAAAACTTGTTCTCGACCAAACATCCGGGATTGAGCGACGGGAACATAACAAGATGTCCCGCTTGCTGTTTCGTGGTGTACGTTACCAGTCGTGTAATGTTCGTATTTAAAAGCATTTCAAGGCCTGTTGGCAGTTACACCCATAGAAGGAAACAAGCGTCGGGGACTACCATGCTCACCAGGGATATTGACCATTTACCCCAATATAGATTACTGAGTTAAACACGCGCTCTGTAGCCCTGAAACTGCATCGCTCGGTTGGCCTCGCGCGCGCTGAATGAAAAAAAAAAAACATCCTGCATTTCTTATCGTTTCTTTGAGTACTTCAACTGAGTAAATTTTAATTTAATTAAGTTATACATGTCCCCCCCCCGCTGATCTCTGGCGCCTTAGACGGCAAATGCATTGTGATTTTCACGCTCAATTAAATAAAACGCGGAAATAATTATAATAATAATAAAGCACACCTCCCGATCGGCGTTTTAATGGTCTGCTGTCCACCTTTGCATTATAAGCTGTCACCGTCATCACAAAAAAAAAACAGATGACGCCTAACCGTATAAAATTTTCAACACACATTTATTCGGGACACTTCAACTACGAAGGAGCATAGCAAGCGAACAATTTTCGACGATGCGGGCAGTCTTACATGCATAGAATCTGTAGAACCTGGAACCGCAGTCGCAGGTAATCTATATAGAATGTAGATGTCAAAGTTTGTGCTCCTGTTTATTTAAGCTTTAAGGCCTGGCGCTAGAATTATTATATGCGGGCTGATCGAACGCGCATCTGCGATACGTAAATATTGTGCGTGAATATTTTGTGTGAATAAAGTGTTATCATTTTGTGGCGCAATAATGAGGCATCGTAAAACTAGGGAAAGTTGAATTACAAATTGAAATTTGATTTCTCCTCAGAAAGTATAAATTGTATAGAGAGTTAGTAGATGCTATTTTCTGTTATATGTAGAAACGGGACTCATTTCTGAGTTCCAGCGTTTGAACGGCCCACTCTATAATAAACATACTTTTGTACGTTTATTATAGAGAAGGTTTATTTTCCTAGTTTTATTTATTGTTCTAAGAAACCTTTTAATTGTGAATCTGATAACCCGTTTGCCATCTCCAAAACATTAACAGCTTTATCTTGTCCAAACACTATGGATGCAATGCAGAATTTACACGCCGGTAAAAATTTCGGCAAAAACATTGAATATCACGATGCCAAAGGACAACTTTATATGTGTAGTGATTCTTTGATGACTAAAATCTTTCGATGTATTCATAAATATAGGAACCTTGAGGCTCTCGGGCGGGTGTGCTAAAATCACTATACTACCAAATTTATTAGCAGTGTATACTCTTCGTCTGCCTTAAAGCTGTGTTGCTTGTAGTGGAGAGAAATTCCTTGAATCTTGCCGTTGAAAGATGCTTATCGCATAATTATGATCAAGCCGAGGCAGGACATTACTACATTACAAAAACTTCTACGCTATGCAGGAGCATATGTCCAGTCTTAAAATGCCTAGGAAATTACGGACCAGGCAATAAGTCCAGCAGCTATCTCAATCAATCGTCAGTTATGGAAAGATCGGCTTCCAAAGGCCGGATCCCTTGTGAATCAAGTCACGAAAAATTCAAGAATCAGCAATAGGCCACGGGCCTATTTCTTCAATGCCGACACTTCTATTCTATTCTAATACAATCTGCCACATTTTTCTTAAACTCCCATCTATCTTGGAATTATAAATGGTAATGGAAAACAATTATGAACTATCAAGCCTTGTGATGATCAATACACATGGTGCAATCATTCACTCGTAAACTGTGCGCATGATACGTAAAGCAAAAAACAGAACTCTCGAGTGAAGGAATTATCCAAATTTGAATGATGTGGGTGCTATGTAGTCTTCTTGCATCGTCTGAACTTCAGTTAAATTCGTTTCCTTGTTTTGGTAGGGCTTCAGAAATTTCGGTCTCATAGGTGCTGTTAAATTGGATATATTGCTCTTATAAATTGGATATATTGCATGTAGTTCAGGGAGAAAACCTTAAAAAGACATTATCAATCGGCTTGTTGCCTGACGGTTGAGCACAATGGATATTAGCCATTAGGGCAGTGAGTTGCGTGTTCAAGTGCCACAGCAAGCTGTGAAAATTATACGATGTTCAAAATAGACGACAGGCCCGAAGGCTTATTATTATAATAAATATTATAATCATTATAAGCCCATAAACTCATATCATAATCAGTCTACGTAATTCGAAGGAGGTCACTCGAAGTCGGCGATTCTTACTTTCATATTTGCGACAACTAATTGGTCCTTGCAACATGAGCTATGTACATGATGGCGAGAGTGAAATGAATTTGATGTGCCATTGCTTCCAAATGCGTAATGAATTAATGAGTTCAACTGACCTAACACCAGAGGACGCTCCAAACTATATCACTCTCATCCTGAATGGTCATGAATTTTCTAGGAATTTGTATACGTAATGATGCCTTCTTCAAGGGAGCTGTAATACTCCTCAAAAACGTAATTGTAAAGGAAATTATATTTATTTACATTTATTCAGTATTATCTTTATAACATCACATAAAGCGGCATAGCAAACCAGATTCGAGTCACGTGACCCATCAACAGTGTTTTTGGGTCAATTTCAGAATTTATATAAAAATCATGGCGATTTTTGTCTAAAAATCATAATAAAATAGTTTTATACGTATAGTGTGCGAAACTATTGAGCAATGATTGTATCACATCTATATTTACTTACATATTCCTATTTAATGGAAAGATTAACAGTACAGTGAACAGACATGCGACAATGGCGCCAATGTTATCATTCAGCTGTCCTAAAAAATAACGACATCCAATTTTCTATATACTAGGAATAGCTGGATTCAAGTTTTTTAAAAACATACATCGTGGAAGTTAGAGCTCAAAAATTTGCAAATTTTTGAGTTATGCTCCTAATTTTTATGTTTGGAAAATTTTGCACATTGCTGGAACGCGTCGACGATAACTGAGAAAATGGCGAGGGATGCGGGGTTCGCTGTCAATTATGTGAGATAATGTGAAATTATCTTCTAAATAAGAAGAAGATCGGAGTAATTGATGTGTTGGTTAATTTTAAGTTCATAATATACAAGATGACTACCAACATGTACCGCGTTGGAGGTAAATTGTTATTTAAGAGCACTACTTAGAAAATTTGTCTTGCCGGTAATGTTTATTTACATTCTAATTACTTTTTTCGACTTTAGTGTATTCATAAGACAAAAATTTTAATTAAAAACTCTTGAATCCCATCAGATTGGATTCAGTTTTCAGTTACATAAGTCCTATTTCAATTCAATTTAATTTGTTGTCATTCCAGTTTGTTCTCAAATTCTCTTAGGTACCTACCTGCACAGATTAGAAAACTAGGTAGGTAGGCTAGTACTAGTAGTACATGGATGATGATTGCAAATTCTGTTTTATAGCTACAGCTGTGACTCTAAATTCATCCAATCATCCAAATAGGTAGTATATCAGCTCATTTTCAGCTGAGCTATGGAGGCCTGCAAAGTGTAAATTTGAATGAAAAGTTAGTTACACTTTCAGACTTGCAGTTGCAGTCTTGCAGATATGATCAAAGCAGAGACTTTTTGAGACTCATCTCTAAGTTTGTTTTTGTGTCCTGTAAGTAGACCAGTAATGAGATTATGAGTAAAGTACCTATCATGGATACCAGCATTCCAATCCAACCCATGGCAGGATTGAAATTTTCCTACTTGTTTACAAAATCTTGTAGCTCCAATGTGATGAATTTTTAATACATTTTGAATCTTGCAGCCTGATCATGCACTTTTCTTAACAATTAAATAGGATTTAGGACTTAGGAGGTAATTCATCTGGTGGAAATCTTGCAGTTCTGGAAATGGCAGGAAAGCTATAGTTGCAGCCCTAAAGGTAGATGTTTTCCATGCTTGCCCCCATCCATGGCATAGGAATAGAATATTGGCTTAAATCTTGTATTATTGTATAGATGACAAAAAATGAGAAAAATGAACTGATTTTAGAAAATCTCACAAACCAGTAAACCACAACCAGAGATTTTTTAGAAAGAGTTCATTTTTATTTTCCTCATTTACTCAAGGTTTAAATCAATATCTTAAGTAACTTGACACATGAATAGTATATAATTTGCATGATGTAGTGTGTAGTCAGTAGTATGATGCAAAAATTAGTGCTCAGTTAAAAATATCAGAAATATTCCCTAAAAAGATTTCACAATTTATCAGAATTTATAGCACATAAATGAGTATACATGACACTGATGACAGTGACCCAAGGATTTTTAATTTAATAATGATATTGACCAATCAATGTAGAACAATGTGATAATTTCACAGATACTCAATGCTTGGTTTGGTTTGCCGGCTTTTTCACGCATTTGCACTGGTGCAGCCTGTACAAATACCTTAGGAATCAAGGTATAATTTTTCTCCATAGATTCTAAATTCAATAACAATAAATAGATTTGTTAGGTAATTTATGAAACCTGATTGTATATGGGAATGAAAATGTCCCTACTATTTCAGAAAGGTTTCATGAATACGCTTGTAAAAACTCAACATCTCTAGTCAATGGGGTCTTTGAAATGATAACATGCCTAGTTAAATTGAGAATATTTTAGCTATAAAAGTGAGATAATATAAAGAGCCATAAAAAATTGTTTTTGTGATGCAACTCTCCAAACATATTTTAAACTTTTATCAGAAATAATGCAATTTTCAAAAATTGCAAGCAATAATGTGCAACTTTTCTTGTTTCGTATGAAATAAATCGAGCTATCACAATAAAAACAGATGACTTTGAGTGCAAGCATGGATATTTTTCACTCATTTACATGTGATTTTTGCCCAATTTTCTGGGTTGCCAACCAGAGACTTTTTTATTGTAGTGCAAGCCTCAAAAAGAACTAAATCTTCAATTTTTTTCCCTCTTATCTTGTAAAGAAATGGACTAAGCACTCTGAAATTTGTACCAAAGTTTGAGGCTTCTACTTGTCAGCATTCCAAAAATTGTCAAGCTTGCAATGCTAGTTGTTTGTAACTAAAAGGTTAAATTATTCAAAATTTAAGAAAAAAACCATCTGTTGAAGTATCATGTTAAATAACACCAAAGTTGAAATTAATATTGAACATAAAGTTTTGGTAGGTGTAACATAGAATATAGTCAAATGGGGTAAGACAGGATCGCACCCTTCATGGGGTAAGAAAGGACCAGCCCATGGTGTGCATTCTAATTGCACTGAATTCAATTTGACAAGAGAATATGTTAGAACAATCATTGCCTAACATTTCAGTGTTTGTGGCAACCCTCTTCTGCAAATAATGAATTTCTGGCTAATTTTTAAAGAAAACCTATGTAAAGAAGGGGTCAAAAAATAGTTAACCCTGTTTGGGAAATAAGCTCTGTCTAATGACGAAAAAAAATTTTTGGCCAGGTTTTTGGATAGAGCAGGTAACCTCAAGTAATAGGCAACTTTTGAGACATACAGCAATCCCTTGATTAGCACGGTTTTGATTAACGTGGAAAAAAAATGTGCAACCTACCCTTAATCTACGCGATGCCAGTTTTGATTAGTGCGACTTTTTTTTCACAACACATCATTTTCCCGCCTCTAGCCAGAGGTGTTACGTTCGTAACAAAAGTGTTACTTTTTGCTTATTACATCTTATGTTGTTACTTTTGTTACGACTTTTGGAAAAATTTGCCAAATATTGTTACTTTATGAATTTCGGCCAATAATTCTTTAAATAAGGTCCCGTTCCGTAGGCACTCGTGCTGACTACAGAGTCGGTTTAACCGCGCCTTGTCTCGTTCATAACTCGAATGGTCGAGTTTGGCAACGTTCGCCGGTAAGTGCGCCACGCCGGTGCTCTAGTTACTCGTTAGCCTTCAACTGGTCAAGATCGCTGCCATATCTACTGCTCATTTTTATCAAACTACATAATTTTCCTTGATAAATTACCATCATAATTATGGACAAAAAGGGAACGCTTAAACGTACCGTAAAATGGGGTAACTTAGACCGGCGGGGTAACTTAGACCACTTTTCATTTTTTTAACAAAAACCCCCACAACTCAAAAACTATTTGACATAGAAAAATTTTGTCAATGAGCATTAAAGGCCTAATACTGAGGCTACATAACACAATAGAAAGATTTAAAGAGTTTGCAAATCTAATAGGTTAAAAAATTAAAATTGTGACCTACGAAAAAAAGCTATTATTTAAAGCCTGTCAGAGTACCCCCTCCAATTTTTTTATTTTCTGGTTAAATAACTCTAAGGTTTTGATGCATTGTAGTAGAACTCTTCTAGTTACATATGCAAATGACAAATTTTAGGAAAGTGTCCTAGTTTGCAAATGGGGGGCGCTGCCCCCAAATGGGGTAACTTAGACCACCTAATGTCAGCCCTGAGGGGGTAACATAGACCGGCTTGGAAGTTAATATAAAATTACCATATATAACATATTTTATGTTTGACAGCCTATTTATGTT